TTTCAGATTAGACTACTTTTCCTCCATCACATCCTTTTTTCCTGGTCCTGCTGAGGTGCTCCCAGATTCGTCCTCCTTGAGGGAGTCTTCCCTGATGGCCATAGGCCAGCTGGTTTGGTCCTCCAGCCGCCCTTGACTCTATTACCACAGTGGGTGATGACCACTGTCCTTCGTGTCTATCTGCCACTTGGTCTCCACACTCAGAGAAGGGAGCGATCGGCCCTGCCTTGTTCCCACACAGATTCTGGCACTCAGCAGGCATGAACGCTGCTGGTAGTGTTAACGGGTTAAGGGTAGCAGCCACTGGGGCCAGGCTCCTCCTTATCCTCTTCTTATGGTTGCCTTCTGCCTCCGCAGTGGACTGGGCTGTGGAGCAGGCCCACTTCGCCCTGTTCTTCAACCAGGGCCAGTGCTGCTGTGCAGGCTCCCGGACCTTTGTGCAGGAGGACGTTTACACCGAGTTTGTGGAGCGGAGTGTTGCCCGGGCCAGGTCTCGTGTGGTCGGGAACCCCTTTGACAGCCGGACTGAGCAGGGGCCGCAGGTAAGCCCAGTGGTTGCACGCAGGTCTCGGTGTCCGGAGCCACCATGGAGAAGCGGAAAGGGCCTTGGACTCTGAATCCGGCAGGCCTGGCTTCAAGTCTCAGCTCTGCCAGGTACCAGCTGTGTGCCCTTGGGAAGCCACATGCTCTCTCCGAGCCACCATTCTCTCATCCATAAAGCCTGCCCTTCGTAACTCACAGAGTGGCCGTGAAGTGGAAATTAATAATGGAAAGCCCTTTGTAAATTACATACACATAATAAATATGAGGAATGGCTGTGAGAAAGGGAATGCATGTTTCCTGGACCTTGGCCATCCATATAAATGCATCTACCAGAAAGACACACACATACCTGTTGTTAATCGCAGTTACGTCTGGGAGGAGGGCGGAGGGCTGTTGTAGCAGAGGGACTTCATTTCACTTTATACTCTTCTGAGCTGTTTGATTTAAAATTTAAAAAAAATTTTTTTTTTTTACAGTGAGCATGTATTCATTTTAACTAATAAAAATATAGTCAATAATAATTATAACAAAAGGAAACACAGTGCCTCACCCCACCACATCCTGATCCTTTTTCCAGCATTGGCCTTAGACCCAGCCTGTCTTGGGCTCACTCTCCACAGGGCCCTGTGCTGGCCTCCTCCAGCCTCCTCCTCCCAGGGATGAGGAATCCACAGGGTCAGGGATGCTTCCTCCCACAAATCCCTTGCACGCAGCCCTGAGCCCACTTCTGGGGCCAACAGGGGCCTCTCTGCAGGCTTCATTGTCCTGGGGACGTCTGTGTTCCTTGTGTCTACTCCCCAGGCTCCAGTGCTGGCCAAGGCAGCCTTTTTTTTTTTAATTAATAAATTCTGTTCTTTTAGAAAAATGAGCAGGAAGTACAGAGTTCCCATATATCCCCTAACCTCCCCATCCCCTAGTTTCTCCTATTATTAATATCTTGCATTGGTGTGATACATTTGTTACAATTTGATGAGCCAATATTGATATATTATTATTAAATGAAGTCCATAGTTTACATTAGAGTTCACTCCTGGTGTTGTACATTCTGTGGGTTTTGACAGATGAATCAAGACATGTACCCATGATTACAGTGTCACACAGAATAGTTTCAGTGCCCTAAAAATCTCCTGTGCTCCACCAGTTCATTCCTCCCTCCCCCTAACCCTTGAACCACTGATCTTTTTACTGTCTCTATAGTTTTGTCTTTTCCGGAATGTCATATAGTTGGAATCATATAGTCTGTAGCCTTTTCAGATTAGGCTTCTTCCTCTTTTTCTTTCTTTTTCCCGCAGATTACCTTCTTTTACTTAGCAATGTACATTTAAGTTTCCTCTATGTCTTTTCGTGACTTGATGGCTCATTACTTTTCATGGCTGAATAATATGCTACTGAATGGATAGGCCACATTTTCTTTATCCATTCATCTGTTGACAGACCCTTAGGTTGTTTCTACTTTTTAGCTATTGTGAATAGTGCTGCTGTGAATCCCAGCGTCTTTTTTTCTCTCGTTTTTCTTTGTGGTTTGTGGCTATATAATTATTAAGGTAATACAAATTTGTATTAAAAACTTCATAAAAAAGAGTTTAAAGTAAAAAATAAGATCCCCTTGTCCCCTTCATGTCCATTCCTCATAGGTAACCACATACACACAGAGTTACATTTTGGCATGTTTGTTTTAGCAAAAGTAGGGTCATATAATATATTTCATCCTACAAGCTTCCCCCCTCTTTACAGAACATCTTAGGCTGTCGTTCTGTGTCTGTCTGTGGACAGGTCTGTTGTTAATGATGCCAACATATGGGTGTGCCATATTAACCAGCTCCTCTACTGATGCATACTTGGGATTGTTTCCACTTCTTGCTTCTGTAAGATGTTCCCCAGTGTCTATCCTTGTTCAGGTCCCTTTGTCACATGTAGAATAAATTCCTAGAAGTTAAATAGCTGGGTCAGAGGATATGAACATCTAATTTTTTGTCTGATATTAATAAGCCATTTGCCCGAAGAGCTGTACCAGCTTACAGTCCTTTCTCTTTTTTTTAAATTGAGGTGTAATTGACCTATAATGTTGTATCAGTCCTTCTAAAAATGTATGAATATTACAGAGTATGCAACATACCCTTGGTATCAATGTATTTTCTTACTATTTAAAATTTTTAGTAATCTCATACTTGAAAAACTTGAAAGGCTTGATATTCATTTTGATATTCATTTCTTTGAGGGCTAATGAGTTTGGTGGAATCTGTTCTTATGTTTTTGGCCTTGCTTATTCATGATCTGGCCCATTTCCCAGTTGGCTTCTTGCCTGTGTGGTTCTAAGCCTGAAGCTGCGAGAGGTATGGCTGTAGCATCTCTGTAACTCTGGGCTCCTTCTCCCTCAGGTGGATGAGACTCAGTTTAAGAAGGTCCTTGGCTACATCAAATCTGGGAAGGAGGAGGGGGCGAAGCTGCTGTGTGGTGGAGGGGCGGCTGCTGACCGTGGCTACTTCATCCAGCCCACCGTGTTTGGAGACGTGCAGGATGGCATGACCATCGCAAAGGAGGAGGTTAGCATGCGTCCAGCGCTCGAGGGAATGTTCCTAGGAGGAGAAGCGGACAGTTCAGTCCAGCACCTTGACCCAGGACCCATCCATTGGCCTTGGGCCAAATCCTGGCTCTATGCATAAGACAAATGATTTGCAATTCACTTCTGATCTTGTGCCTCTCCTCTTCAGTCTCTTATGGCTGCCAATGGTTGGGGAGAACGTCTGAATTCCCCAGCAGAGCCTACAGGTCCTTTGTGTTCTGGTCCCTGCGAGCTGTGAGTTAAAGGAATGACTCTTCCCAGCCCTTCTCATGGCCTTCATGTAAGCAGACACTGGACTAGATCAAAGGGCTGACTTCCCCACATGGCGAGAGTCCCTTGACCTTCTCTCCCCCTTGGCACTGATTACTAACGTAAGGCAGCAACTCCACCTCATTCATTCGTTCATTTCACAAAATTTTTTTTAACATCTTTATTGGAGTATAATTGCTTTACAATGGTGTGTTAGTTTCTGCTCTATAACAAAGTGAATCAGCTATACGTATACATATATCCCCATATCCCTTACCACAAGTAATTTTTGAATTCCTACTATGTGCAAGGTGCTCTACAGACACTGGAGATCCAGGGGTATCCGACATGTGTACTCTGCCCTTGTGAATTCAGACTCCCTCCACTTCCCCCAGCAGGATGAAGCCCTTTAGCAGCCCTATGCAGGGAAAACATTATACTGCCACCCCCTTTCATGGATAATTCAAAATAAAATAATATTAAAATGCAAAATCAGGGTAAGAGAGTACAACAGAGTTCTGCCTCTTTTCCCATCATGACTACTTTGATGCTATTTTTTTTTAAAATCTTGACGGAAATGGAAAATATCCATTTTCTAGAAGGGCAGGGGCTGCCTTTGCTTTGCTAGTGCCCGAAGTGCAAGATGCCCCGTCTCGCAGTCCTCGCTTCAACCATGATGGGCTCCTGGCAGTCTTCTCGCACCTCCGTCTTGACACTCTCCACCCAGTCCTAGAATCAGTGATTTCTTCAAGAAGTCCTAGTTCCTTTAGTGGAGAATGGGATGTTGTAAGAATGGGTGCTGCGTGTGCCGGTGCCTGGAACTCCATTTCCCTCCTCCCTGCTCCTCATCCTCACTCTGGTTTGGCCAGTTTCTGCTCGTGTGGTGTCACAGCTTGACTCTCACCTCTCGAGGCCTTCCCTGATCCCCTGCCTCCCATCATTCAGGCCAGGTAGCTCCTCTGGGCTCCCACCACTTGTCACGGTCACATGCCAATCACTTGATTACATCAGGATCTGTTCCCCGGGGTCTCTCCCCTGATAGGGCTGAGAGCAGCCACACCCCAACCGCAACAAGCACGCCTAGCTCCCATGTTTTGGTTTCTGAAGCCCACTAAAGCCCACTAAAAGGAACCAGGATGCCTTGAAGAAATGGCTTAGAAATAGGGCAGGGAAAGTATAAGATAAACTCAGAACATCTTGAGATCAGAGACCCTGTTTTGTTCATAGCTTTTTCTTCAGCATCTAGTGTGTGCCTTGTTGAATGACTGACTGAAATTCTTTGAAACTAAATTTCCATGTGACCTGTCAGTGCAAGCCCCTACCTCACAGGACTGTTTAGAAATAAGATAAGGTATGTAAGGTCCATGGCACACAGAAGGTAACCAGTCCCCTTAGCTTCCTTCCCTTTGTATTCCAGTGAGTGTGAGAGCTGTCTTCTCCCTCTGGAACTGTTAGGGTGTTTCTGGAGGCTTGCTACCACATCTGGAATCATCTGCTCAGCGCTGTGGAAAGCTGGGTAACAGGTGGTTCCGTGTCTGCCCCACCCACCCATTGTGCTCTCTAACCCCAGATCTTTGGGCCAGTGATGCAGATTCTGAAGTTCAAGACCATAGAGGAAGTCGTTGGGAGAGCCAACAATTCCAAGTACGGGCTGGCCGCAGCTGTCTTCACAAAGGACTTGGACAAGGCCAATTATCTGTCCCAAGCCCTCCAGGCTGGCACCGTGTGGTAAGTGCCTCCCAGCAGCCTCTCGCAACCCAGGTAGTAGAGATCCCCAAGCCAGGGTCTTCTGGAATCCACTACTCACATCCCAGAATTGGGGTGCCGGGTTTAGTTCCTCCTGGGTCAGGGTGTGGTATAGCAGATGGGGATGTCCTTCCCCCTCTCCTCCAGATGAAACTTCCCTCCAGTGCATATGCCCGTGCAGCTGTTCTTGGGCAAGCAGATGGATGACTGGGGCTCCTTACCAAGCTGTAACAAGAGCAGGAGACCAGAGCTGAGGGCCCACATCTATGTAAACACTGGTCTTAAAAGCTTAGCACCTATGGCACACCCACTAGGATGGCTGTAATTTATTTATTTTTAATTTTTTAAAAAAAATTATTTTATTTTTGGCTGTGTTGGGTCTTTGTTGCTGCACATGGGCTTTTCTCTGGTTGCGGCAAGTGGGGGCTACTCTTTGTTGTGGTGCGCGGGCTTCTCATTGTGGTGGCTTCTCTTGTTGTGAAGCACGGGCTCTAGGCATGTGGGCTTCAGTAGTTGTGGCTTGCGGGCTCTAGAGCGCAGGCTCAGTAGTTGTGGCACACGGACTTAGTTGCTCCGCGGCATGTGGGATTTTCCTGGATCAGGGCTTGAACCCATGTCTCCTGCACTGGCAGGCGGATTCTTAACCACTGTGCCACCAGGGAAGCTCCGATGGCTGTAATTTAAAAAACAGAAAATACCAGGTGTTGGTTAGGATGTGGAGAAACTGGAACCCTTACACATTGCTGGTGGGAATGTAAAATGTTGCAGCCACTAGAAAAGTCTGGCAGTTCTCAATAAGTTAAACATAGAATTATCATAGGACCCAGCAATTCCACTCCTGGGTACATACCCAAGAGAAAAAAAACATACATCCACACAAAAAGGTGTATCTGAATGTTCATAGATTATTCACAATAGTCAAAAGGTGGAAATAACCTATCGACTGATGAATGGATACACAAAATGTGGTTTATCTGTGCAATGGAATATTCAGCCATAAAAAGAAATGAAGTACTGATAACCTGCTACAACATGGAAAACATAATACTAAATGAAATAAGCCAGACACAGAAGGTCACATATTATATGATTCCATTATATGACATGCCCAGAATAGGCAAATCCATAGAGGGAGAAAGTAGATTAGGGGCTGCCAGAGGCTGGAGGAGGGGGGGGATGTGGAGTAACTGCTTGTTGGGTATAGGGTTTCTTTCTGGGGTGATAAATGTTCTGGGATTATATAGAGGTAATGGTTGCACAACATTGTGAATATATCATAAAGCACCTTTAAAGTGGGGAGTTTTAAATTCAGTTAAAATTTAATAATTAAAAAAAATTGCCCCAAAAAGCTTAATACCCAATTAGCAAAAATGATTCATTAAAATGGGAAGGATGAGATGACTTATGGCTTTATTTCATGTGGCCTGCTTTTGACTTCTATATACCTAGCTATTAGTAGGGTTCTACCCATCCATTTTTCTCAATAAAATTTTAGAACAATACAGGAGGTCCGAGGGGTATGATGCTTATCCTCCACCCCAAAAGTTACTTCTGAAATCTCATCTTAAATTATAGGGTCAACTGCTATGATGTGTTTGGGGCCCAGTCACCGTTTGGTGGCTACAAGCTGTCTGGGAGCGGCCGGGAGCTGGGAGAGTATGGGCTGCAGGCATACACTGAAGTGAAAACTGTGAGTATGGGCACCTTCTCAGCCCTCTCCCTCGTGCTGGGGTCCATCAGTATTGACTGCTAGTTTCTTGTTTTAAGCCATGGAAGCTACCAAAGAGGGTAAAGACCCAGTCTCTGCTGTGTCTCATGAGGAATAAGTAGGGACTTGACCACCACTATGCCTACACAGTCCTTTGCTGGGCTTTGTTATACACTGAGTTCTGTAAAACCTGAGAGGAGGCAAAGATCCCAGTGGGCTGAAGCAGCGAGGAAAAACTTCTAATAAGAATCAAGCTATGAGGCATTAGATATCAAGGGGCATATCCTTTGCTTCTGCAATCCTGAAGAACTAAGCAGAAATAGAAAGAAAGCTTTACTTCCATAAATAGCCATCTCAGCATTCTCCAACAGGGAAAAATCAGATGTAACCCAAATGCCCAATAAATTATGGAATATTAAGTAGCTGTTAAAGTATTTTTGTAGAATATTTGATATGAAAAATGCTTATCCTTTAAAGTAAAAAAGCAGGATACAAAGTGATGTATGCAGTATAAGCCCAACTTTAAAACTGTATATGCCCATATACAGATACTCAGATATCTTTATCAAAGTGAAAAAAGACAGGAAAGAAAGATACTAAGGTAAAAATGATTTTCTGTCTACAATGAATACTAATTATAATTTAACCAGGAAACATATTCACAAATGATATTTTAAGAAAAGAGAAATGGGCACAGGGCAAGCAAACCAGCCTGGGGGTGGGGGGTGGCGATGGGAGTAGGATGAGAAAGGGGGAACAGAGCAAGAAAAGGTAAACAGTGGTCTTCATTCAGTATATACTATATAGTATGAAACTCTAATAAGATACAACCTAAGCTCTCAAGAAGATCACTGGAATAAAGTAAACATGTTTACTTGTTTATTGAAATGTTTCCATTATATACAAGAGGTGAGACCCAGATTTGATATTGACATTGAGATGTCATTAGCCTATAACTGTTCATCAAAACAATAGTTATGGAGGAGATTATTTAGGTATGGAGTGAGGGAGGAGGGAGGCCTAGGACTGAGCCCCAAGGAACTGCAGTATTTAAGGATTGACTGGAGGGCAGTAGAAGAGCCTGAAAAGGAGAGGCTTGAGTTGAGGTGATTTGTGGAGGAATCCAGCTGTAAGCTGCGAATGCTGGAGCCCTCAGGAAATGAGATGTTGGGGAGAACTCGAGAAGGCTTTTGAAGAAATGGCAGGACTTGATGGCCTAGGAGGGTTAGAGGATGTGGGTGAAGGGGGCAAAGCTGATGCAGCCCAGCATCCACACTGTGCTTGGTGCTCATGATAAAGAGTCCTGTTAAAAAAAAAAAAAAAAAAAGTCCTGTATTTTGAGCTTTAGGAACTCGAATGATAACACTAACAAAAATAAGGATTTTTGTGTTATCATTCACTAACAAAAATGACTGTTGCATGCTGAAGGTCTCAGAAGTCAAGTTTGCAAGGGGGACTGATGAGAAAATTTCTTTTTATTTTTACTGAAAGTTTACTTTGTGCCAGGATCTGTGCTAGACTGTCTTATGTATGTTATATCATTTAATGCTCACAACAACCCCATGAAAGAGATATTGCTGTTACCCCATTTTACAGATGAGGGAACGAGTCACACAGAGGTGAAGCACTTGCCCAGTAGCGGGGAACGATGGGATTCAACCCTATATCCATCTGAATCTGGAACCTTCCCCCTAACACACTGAGACACCTGTGAGCTTGAGCACATTATCTTTTCCTGGCTCTGATTCTTGTGGAGGAACATACGGATCTCGGGCAGGGTCTCTCAGCCTTGGAACTGGGGACACTTGGGGTTGCATAATTCTTTGTGGTGGGGCTGTCATGTGCAGCGTAGGATGTTGAGCAGCATCCCTGACTTTTGCCCATTCGATGCCTGTAGCCACCCTCCCCCCAACTGTGACAATCAAAAATGTCTCCAGACATTGCCCACTGTTCTCTGGGGGGCACAGCTGCCCCCGGTTGAGAATGACTAGGTCAAGGGGAGGCAGAGTGTGATCTCATGCAGAACACAGCCCTAGCGGTTGCTGGGATTGGCCACTGGCCATCGAGGTGTTCGAAGTCAGGAAAGCCCTTCTGTTTATAGCTCAGGCAGCACCCAGCTGAGGGGGCCTGTAGACCAAAGGGAAGCATGAAGATTTAACAGCTTCTCTGCACCCCTCTTACAGGTCACAGTCAAAGTTCCTCAGAAGAACTCATAAAGAACCATGCTGGCTTTACTCATCCAGTGATGGAAAGTTCAAGGAGATAAGCAACAAAACCAAGAAAAATGACCGTTGCATGCTAAAGGTCTCAAAAGAGAAATTCTGCCAGAAAAATCTTTTGGATCAAGAAAGTTCCAGAATTTGAATCAATAAATAGGGTGGGTGTGGGACAAAGGGTATATGGAAAGCCTTTTAAACTGCAACAATACTACTAGCTTTCAGGGTGATCTTTCAAAGATAGATTCAAATATCTCATCCATTCCATCTGAAACACTTCTGTAACTTGCCTTAATGGGGGAAGAAAAAGCCATTGTTTACCACTGTTCCATCTTTGAAGTAGCAACTAGCACCTTTCTTTGTATTCTGGACTAAAACTCATTAAAAACAGTGCTGCTCTTCACTTTTTAGGTAACTCTTCCTCCATCTCAACCCAAGGAGATGCTGTCACATAGATATGTTGTCCCCTCTGTGTGTATGTCACATTGTAAACAACTGTCACCCATCCCCTACTGTGGATAAATAGCCTTTGTTTCCTGCACGTAGTTAACAGATGTTTCCGGCCTGCCCATGTGTGGTGGGCCCTGTACGACACACTGAGGAGGACACCTACACGAGACTGCCAGCCCCTGCCCTCAGAGAGAGGGAGGTAAACTAGGAAACACACTTGACACCCAAGGTTGGTTCTCAGTGTTTTAAGTTCAAAAACTTGGTCAGAACAAATGAGACAGATTCCTGCTGGACCAGTTTCATAAGAGATTAATTTGAAATCCAGATGTCAATTTACTCACTTTAAGTGAGGTCTGTATTTCCAATAGCCGGACCTTTTGAATCTTGTATCAAGAACACTGCCTTACTTTAGTCAAGGGACCTGGCAAATTAGTAATCAGTATTATTAGTAAATTAGGAATCAGAAGATTCCTTAGTGAGCAATGGAATTGGAGCAAAAAGAATTGAATCACAGTAGTAGTTTGTGAGTGATCACATTTGGGTCACAGATTCCTTTAAGAATTTGAGGCAAAGTTTGATCCTTTCCTGAGGAAAAAACACCTGTATAATATTTGCAGACAGTGTCAGGGAGTGATGGAGCTCACTGGTTGACCCCTGGCTTTATTTCACTGAGGCTAAGCCACATCTTGATAGGCGATCCCTATTCCACTAGAGACTAATTGGACTTCTTTGAATAGCACTTCTCAATTTTTGTCATATATGCATATACCTGTACTATCATTTACTTTTTTCTTTAAATTGACTCTTATTTAGATAAAAATTTTGAAAAATACCTTACTGCAATACCTAAAAAAGAATAATAGCATTTAACTGCCATAAATAGAAGACATTATAAAAAGATGAAACAATGTTACTAAATTTAAAATAATGAAATACAAGTAAAGCTAATCTTTTAGATTTTATATATGTATGTATACAAATTAATCATTCTATAGCTGAAATAAGTGTACCTCATTGAGGAGACAAGGATTTTATGACCAGTCAGCAGTAATGGGATATTCCAGTTGACGTTGCTTCAAGAAATGATTCTGTATTTTAGCTTTGATGATGAGCAGCAGCAACAGTGCCATTACACGTGAACCGAGCAGCAAAGGGCAGAGCTTTGAGCTCACCCCCGTTCTCCCATCTTCTCTGCGGCTTCTTAGGCTTAAGGTGGTGCGCGGTGGCACCAGGTCAACTGAAACGTCTGTCCCTGTCCTCATGGCACTTGCATCTACCTGGGGAGAGAGGCATTAAACATGGGGATGTAACAGGAAGAGGGTGTTCTGAGAGTGCAAAAGGGGATGCCTGGCCTAAGCTGGGCCTGGTGGAAGAAAAGGTCACGCCCCTCACACATGCATCCATCATAAACACTTACTGGGAGGTTACTGAGTGCTAGGTACTGGCGATGCAAAGATGAATAAGACTTGTAAGACACTATCTAGAAACTCAGGATCTGGTGAGGGGAACAGACTCTCAAAAGTGATGATTATAATATAATATAGATGCCAGATATTGACAATGAGAGCGATCAGGTAATGACATCATGGAAGGATAAGAAGGGCCCCTGCTGACTGCAGGCAGGGAAGAATGCTCCCTAGACAATACTCATGTATTTTACTTGCTTTCCAGGCTTCTTGCCAGAAGTTAAATTCTTGAAGGTTTGAGCTTGGGTTATTTGCCTATAATTTATGCCCTTTATGTAAATGGGAGTACCACTATTATCTGCTAAGTATTTACCCTAAGCAATAATAAATGCATGTCAAAGTCTGATTTTCAGAAGTTAAAAACATGACTCCTATGTGAATATAAGATGAACACAGGTCAAAGATTTTACTCATTAATTAATAAGATGATGAAGCGGATAAACAACAAAGTCCTACTGTACAGCACAAAGAACTATATTCAATATCTTGTAATAAACCGTAATGGAAAAGAATATGAAAAAGAATATATATATATAACAATCACTTTGCTGAACACCAGAAACTAACACAACATGGTAAATCAACTGTACTTCAATTAAAAAGATGATGAAGCAGGTTCAAAAATCACTGAGGAACTGGCCGTTTGTGGGCATTTTAATAAAGGTTTTTGCAGCAACGAAGACCCAACACAGGCAAAAATTATATAAAAATAAATTAATTAAAAAAAAAGATTGCTAGGTTAGATACAAAACTGGTTAATGTCCTAGAAAGCAAGAAACAGTAACTAACCATGAGATTTGTGTTTACCAGATAGAAATCATTTGCAGCTGTACTGGACATAAATCTATATATAAATTATAGGCCACTTCACAGAGTGAGCTCTTAATTAGTTAACAGCAAATTCAAACAATGCTACGATCTCCTAGGGCAGAGTTGACAAGCTTTTTCTGTAAAAGGCCAAGGTGATAAACATGTTAGGCTTTTCAGGGTACATAACATCTCTGTCACATTTTCTTTTTTGGTTTTTAGTCCTTTAAAAACGGGGGAAAACCCAACATTCTTAGCTTGAGGGCCGTACAAAAATCGGCCACGGACTGGATTTGGTTTCCTGGCCGTAGCTTGCTGACCCTTGTCCTAGAAAATGAGAAAATCATTGGGTGGGCCTGTGAAATGGAGTTAGGCATGACTTTGAAAGGATATGCATTTATCTTCTTGGCCATACTTCTAAGTTTTGGATAATTTACAAATATGTAATCATTAAGACAAAGTTTGCCTTTGTACCACCTGAAGTCATCTCAGTAACACCACTGGTGGGCAAAGCTTACTTTGGGAAACAGGATTCCTTGTACATCCCAGCGCCAAGAGTCTCCCTCCAGCAGTTCAGACTGAACAAATTCATAGCCTTCGGTTCACTGCTTCTCTGACAAGATTTGGGAACTGCCCAAGCCAACTTGGAGGAGATAAATGGGGGGACCTGAGATTACCATCCCCTTGCAGCAATGTGTTAACAAATCATTCTGGCAATTTTTTTAGATTTTTAAAATTTTACCTTTTTTCCATTCATTTATCTATTCCTTGTTTCAGGAAGTCTTAAGTAGCACTTATCATAGGCTAGGTACTGTGCTATTTATTCCTTGTTTCAGGAAGTCTTAAGTAGCACTTATCATAGGCTAGGTACTGTGCTAGGTAACTGCTTCCTCAGGGAGTAATGCTGGTGACATTCCTGGCTCCCAATGCTTAGTCTAGCTGTGCAGATAATGAAACAAGCGATTGCACTAAAGTGAAGTGTCACAATAAAATGACTAGACACTCCCAGATTGTGGGATTACAGTGTTGGAGGCTTTGTCACCCTCCATGCACTAAACACATTTTTTAATGTAATATTTATTTTGTTAATCATAATAAACACACTTTTAATGTTTTGTTTTACTGGTTACAAGGAACAGTGAATTAGGAACTATAGAGGCAAAGCTAGCATTATATTACCTAGTTTGGTGTCTCTTTCACTGAGTTACAAGGTTCTGACTCTTCCACTCCTTGATTTTGTTCCCAGTCCACATTTCTCAGGCAAAAATAACAACTAAAATAAGGATAAAAGTTTATCTCTCTCAAGTAAAAGAAGTCCAAAGTTGGGCAGTTAAGGGCTATTAATGTGATTCCACAAAGTCTTTAAGCAACCTGGGATCCTACTATTTCAATGTTCCATTATCCCTAGAGTACGACCCTCATCCTCAAGGTTTAATATGGCTGCTAACATTCCAGCCATCACATCAACATTCCAGGGAGTAGGATGGTAAAAAGGACAAAGAAAGGTGGGACACTCTTCTCTATAAGGCAACTTCCCAGAGGTTGCCCACAAAACTTCCACTTATATGTCTTTGGACAAAATTAATTATATGGCCACATCTAGCTGCAAAGAAGGATAAGGAATATTGTCTTTTTAGCCAGGGATCAGCGTGCCTAGCTAAAACTGAAGTTCTTAATTCTAAAGAAAAGGAAAATGGATTTGGGGAGGCAAATAGCAATCCCTACCATGATGTGAAACAGTACCCTCAAAATTTTGGGTGATGCCTCTCCTATGCCTAACCTTACCACAAATTTAATCCAAATCTCATGATGTAGGGTGAGAGTACTGGGAAGATTTTCTGAACAGACAGTGTATTACTTAAGAATATTTTAGTTGCAAGTGTCAGAAAACCAAATTCAAACCAGTGTAAAAAAATGGTTCCTATATTCCAAAATCCTGACATCTCAGCTTTGGCCATGGCTTGATTCAGAAGTTCAAAAAGTTTCCATCTCTTGGCTCCACCTCTGCCAGGTGGGCTTCATTTTTAGACCATACCCATTTTGGTTCTGGTGGGTCTGGATCCTTAGAAGAGCCAACTGACTTCAACAGCTCTCATCTCACACCCAGCCAGACTCAAGTCCACTGGCTAGGAGAAAGTCCCTTTTGGCTAGCCCCAGCAAAGAGGTTCATGCTAATTGGTCCAGCTGATATGACATCCTGCCCCTCCCTCAACCAGTCACTGTGGCCAGAGGGTTGAGATGTGATGATTCACTTAGACCTGAGTCATAATGGTCCACACTTGTGGCCAGGACTGGAGTCCCCTCTAGTCCATCTGGGCTGAAAATGAGGGAGGGATGGATCCCCCAAAGAATACTGGTGCTCTTATCTGAAGGAGAAGACATAGAGATTGGAGAGTTTCCCGAGTTACTGCTGACCTTTTAATATTTCAGTGTTGCCAAAACCCCTGTTGGGGTGAACTGGAGAAAACAGAGGAATGTAATGTTTCTTGCCCCCAGTCCCTGTGAATTAGACTCATTGTAATTGTAAGAGAATCTGTTTTTCAAACTGACAAATAACAAAGGAAATGCTAGCTATTAAGAAATGTCTATAATGTTGATTCTGACATCCTAGACACATTAATCTCCTTGTGCTTTTAGTGACAAACCAGTTAGAACACTAGCTATCTAAGCAAAAAGATCTCAGGTTATAACCTAATCTCTCTGGGTATTTGGATATGGGTCAGTCACAGGAGTATTGGGTGTAAAGCTGCTGTTTCTGCCTTTAGCCTTGCCCAGTGCCCAAGAGGAAATGGCTGAATAAGGGGCACAAGGAACTACGCAGCCCCGAGAACCGAGTTGATGAGGCGTTTTCTAAGTCTAGGCGCCACCTCGTGGTCAATAAGTACAACTACAGTATTATCCTCTCCGAGAGCTGATAGGCTAGACCTACCAGGCTGGTGTCTTTCAAAGATGGTGTTACACAAATGAATTTATTTACAAAACAGAAAAAGACTCACAAACTTATGGTTACTAAAGAGTATAGTGGGGGGCGGGGAGATAAATTAGGAGTTTTGGATTAACATATACACACTACTATATATAAAATAGATAAGCAAGGACCTACTGTATAGCACAGGGAACTATATTCAAAATCTTGTAATAACCTATAATGGAAATGAATTTGAAAAAGATTATATATAATATATATATTATATATATATATAACTGAATCACTTTTCTGTATACCTGGAACACAACATTGTAAATTAACTATACTTCAATTTTAAAAATGGTTAAAACAAGCAAAACAAAACAAAACATGGTGTTACATACAACAAAACTGTATATGGGTAATACCTAGCAGGCAAATGCAATGAGAGAATCAAGAGGCCAGGGTCACATACCTAGGATAACTGAAAACAGGGACTCCAACAAAAACTTGTTCACGAATGTTCACAGCAGTACTATTCATAATAGCCAAAAGGCGGAAACAACCCAAATGTCTATCAACAGATGAATGGATAAACAAAATGTGGTCCATTCACATAATGAAATATTATTCAACCATAAAGAAGTAATGAAGCACTGATACATGCTATAATATAGATGAACCTCAAAAACATAATGCTAAGTGAAAGAAGCTGAACATAAAAGGCCACATATTGTCTGATTCCATGTTTATGAAATGTTCAGAATAGGTAAATCCATAGAGACAGAAAGTAGATTGGTAGTTGCCAGGGGCTGGGGAAAGGAGGAAAGGGGTTGGATAATAGATATGGGTTTCCTTTGGGGATGATGAAAACGTTTTCAAACTAGATAGAGGCGATAGTTGCACAACATTGTGAATGTACTGAATGTCACCGAATTGTTTACTTTAAAATGGTCAATTTTATGTGAGTTTTACCTTAATTTAAAAAAATTAGCCGCATTACCTCTGGGCCTCCATTTCCTCACGATCCCTACAGTAACATCCAGTTCTCACTCAGCTCTTTTGTGAAGAATAAAAGGGAACTGATATTCATTTA